CTGAGGCCCCGTGTCAGCGGCAGGCGTTGGCACGATAAAGATCCCTCACTGCTCAATGGCCCTGAGTGCCGAGTAAAGGTCAAAATTTGAAGCCCTTCACTGGCATATGGTGCCTCTCCATATGAGTGAAAAACTCTCGATGGGGGACGTTAAACAATATACAATCAATCAATCAGAAGATCAGTCGATCAAACTAAACATGACATCCGACCAGATTTATACACATTGAGAAACGGGGTAAGATTAACAGATTAACAATGTACAGTACACAGAATGGTCAGACAATAGACCTTGATTAGGTGTCCCACCGTCCCCTGTTAACTAACAGGAAACTATACATACACAACATACACAGAGAGATTTTGATGATCAATTATTTTTACAAAATTTAAATTTAATGCAAGCATATAGCAAATTAAAAATATTGATTCATCGTAAAATGACAATTATTTTGATACCCATTATGACACAAAAAGCATTAAAACTGAATCTGCTATTCTACAAAAAGTTTTTGTAAACGTAACCTTGTAACTCTTACGCGAGGATTGTCTCTAAATTGTAGACACAAAAACCGTTAATATCCGCAGTATATTTAAAAAAAAGTATAATCTGTTTTTTCGACTTTCTTTTTCGATGATCTATTGTTGTGTTTTATCTATAATTAATTTATTTTCAATCATGATTTAATGCTTACATGTATAAATTTTCGAATAACAGAGCGAAGAACTCAATCACATTACATCAGTCTAAAAGCCGAACTCAATGGTATAGAAATATTACTGCGAAATAAGCCTTTAAAAAATATCCATAAATAAAATTGTTTATATTTTGATTAAAAATCAATTCAAGACTTCGGATACGTTTATCAAAATAAATACTTTTAGAAGTACAAACAAATCTTGTAAAAATGAAGGTTAAATATTTTCCTTGAAAACAAAGAGCGGTGATAGCCTAATGGATAAGGTCATGGGTTCGCGCGCCGTCTGTGGCGATTTTTTTTTAAATTTTGAATTTCGTTCTTTTTCATTATTTTTACCAAATCAAGATATGTGCGAACTTTACATATATAATATTGATAACAAATCACTATAAAAATAATTTTTCACCCATATAAACAGTATTATCGACTGCGTCATGGTGGCTTAATGGTAGCTTAATGGAGTTTGGGCATTTAGCACCTGTACGTCCCCCTTAATGGTAGCTTAATGGTGGTCTAAAAGCTACCATTAAGGACCTGAAGGCCACCATTAAGCTACCATTAAGTTACATTTTAGCACCCATTAAGGAATTTGAGATGACTTAATGGTAACTTAATGGTGGTGTAAATGTTACTAAAAGGTGCTTAATGGTGACTTAAAGACACTACGACTTTAAACCATTATTAAGGACCTATAAGCCACCATTAAACCAGGCTTAAAGGGTGTGTTTCACCTTGTCAGATTATTCTTGCAATATTATTATCTTACTCCAAAGTAATTAAAAAATAAATTATATTATTCCTAATCATTGTGATGACAACAAACATTAAATTCAATCAAAGAAGGCGTGTTTCGTTTATATATTCAGCAATGGTCATTTGAAATGAGAAACGAACAAAAACCCTCACATCTTTAAATTATTACCTATGCTAAATAATATAATTAATTGATCTGTATAAAAGCAAACAAATGTTTAATCATAGTATGTCATGACGTATACAATGAAACAAATAAAAGTCCCTTTCATTCATTAAGAAAGAGACAAATAAGCATTCTAGATCTGGAGACAGCAGTTTAGATTTAACTGATTTAGATTAAATTTGTACACTAAAATAAACATCTCAGAAAGTATTATCCCAATCATTTATAATGTTTTTTTTTTTATAAATATTTTACTTTGGAATATTATGAGCATCCCTCCACAGAATTCGCGAGTATGTGTTATATACAAATTTTACAAGCATGTAGAAAATTCTGCTTCATTATATTTTTTTTTCAAAATGTAAATTGATTTCAATTTTCGGATGAAATTTGTTCTTAGTTTGTGATTTTTGAGCCAGGTATGCATTGTTGACTTCTTTAACTGTTCAGGTCTTCATAATGTACTGATCTAATCTAGACATTCCCCATTTCCATATTTCGTCTGTTGTTTCCCATTTCTCTTCGTCCATTCTCTTTTCCTTTGTTTTTTCCTCCTATGTAATACGGTCCAGGATTTTTCACCGGCCCTCTTTCCTTTTTATTCTATATTTTGAATAAATAACTTTTTTTCATTTTTTTTAAAGTATACATTTTCTTAAATAAAATGCTGTATTTTGATTTTCACTATTATTAACTTATACATGCTAGCGGTTATAGATTTGGTGTAAATGTTTTATCAGTTATGTTTGGAAAGCACTTTTTTCATTTGTCACCTATGTAGTTTTTTCATAACATCTGATTTTACTCTGTATGATTTCTTTGAAACCTTTTTGCTGTTGTGATCACTAATGTTTATTTACCAACCTTTTTTTTCTAAATGTCTTTAGTTTTGGGTCTTTACTTGGTGTGTTTACGGAGCAAACTTTGATGAAGACGCCCATCACGATCACAATCCCGACCACAATTAGCATCACACCCCACCAGTATTCCTGTAAAATAAACAGAACCACGAACCCGACTACAATAAGCATCACACCCCAACAGTGTTCTTGTAAAAAAATAAAAAAAAATCATGAACCCGACGTCAATTAGCAAAACAACCATCCAGTGTTCCTGTAAAAATAAACAGAATCACGATTCCGACTACAATTAACATTATACCCAACCAGTGTTCGTGTAAAAATAAACAGAATTACGACTCCGACGCAATGATCAAAATAATAATTATATCCCTGATGGTATATATAATCACCAGAATTGAAGTTTAATTACATACAATGATCCAGTTTTTAATTGTAGTGAGAGTTTCTTCTCCAAAGATCAAATTTTTCAGTTGCTCTAGAGGTTTCTCGTTATCCACCCCTCTACATCTGTGGAAAACGTCACAATAGCCTTGATAATTGTTACAGGGTGTGCCTTGAATGTACAAAATACAATACAATATCCCTGCTAGTTCTAACAGGGTGTGCCTATAAAATATACAATTTTCGTCAGATTAGTCTTGAGTATTGATTAATTGTTTTCTTTTAGATTTAATGATTAGGTTGAACAATTAGTGACAATTTCATATTTATTTCAGCATTTTTGTATTTATCAAACGAGTGAATCTAGTCCTCTTGGCTTATGACTTCATATTAACGAAAGACTTTTTTCTAATATTTGACTATTATCAGGTTTTGTAAATTAACAAGACTTTATACTAGATAATTGATACGATAAAAGAATTCATGTCGTTATTTGATTTTTGTTGCTTGTTAAATTTTTTTATGACGTCACAATTAAAATTCTAATACGGAGAAATTGTATTTGCTGACAAAGTCATTGTATCGACCATAAAACTTTTTTCAAGTAAAATATCCAAATATGAAACAGATGTGTCAGACTCAAGCTCACTAAGATATATCGTATCGACATAAAATATGAAACAGATGTGTCAGACTCAAGCTCACTAAGATATATCGTATCGACATAAAAATTGAATATTGAATACTGATCAACTAAATAAATTCCATGTAATTACTTAAAAGGTGGAAGTTGGCAATATAATACTTGAGGTTACCACAGTTATCACAAAGTTTAGCTGTTAGATTGACATCAGTGTCTTTCTCTAGCAAAATGTATAGGTATGAGGCAATTAATTCGATCTTTGTTGTATCTTTATCTATAAGAAGGACATTCTTACCTGAAGCCACTGAAATGGGTGAAGTATGTTTGCGCAAACGCTTTACGTCTTCAACTAGTTTACTGAATGCCTCTGGAATTTCCGAGTCGTCTGACACAAAACATGTGTCGTTACCATCTTTAAGAAAGGAAATAATATTAAATTTTTATTTTCATAATATTCAGCTTAGTCATAAAGAGTTTTGTTCTCACTGAAATGATTTAGTTAGGTAGAATAGATTATGGAGCTGTTAGACTTGTATGGATGAGGATGTTTTGCCTCTAAAACTGGAAATAATACGAGAAAATTTAAATATACACGAATGACCTGTAAAAAGGATATGGAGATATAACGAACAGTATTCAAGTAAAACAAGCTGTAATCAAGCTGTAAACAAGCATTGTATTGATTGAAAATGGTAAATTACATTTTTGATTGCCTAATAACTGAATAACTCAACTTAAGAAAATAATTAAATCAGACAAACCTAGTTTGCAAGCTAAGTAACATAGTTATTCTTTTTGTACTACGGAGAGGGAGCCTGACATCCTGATGTAGCATTCATCCCATGATGAACTCCATGGATCACGTGATGACGTATTGGTATAGCCGATTCGCTTACAGAGAGAACCATCACAAATCTACAAACAGAATAATAACGTATTACTCTAGTAAAAAAGGGCCCTCTCTCTACTCAAGCCTAGGGAGAAAATTCTTAAAAGTAATACATACAATCTTACCCCGTTTATGCAGACGTGGGTGTAGCCATTGCAGTAGGTCATGTCAGCTTTATTTTCAGACACTGGACACTCTGCGCTAGTTCCGGTAGACAGGTTAAGAAATAATGTTCATAACTTTCATTTTAGTTTCATTCTTAGAACAATACTTTCTTAGAGGTAAATGTATCACTATTTTATATTTATTTATTAATTACTTAATTTTATATTTATTTAAAGTTTTTTTTTTCAATGACTGTAGGAATAAAAAAAGTAAATAGCCTTCAGATACATTCTTCTAAGCAAAATGCATTCACATCTTTTGCTCTAGATTGGTATTGCTTCAACTGTTGAGCTTGTTGATTCGTCGTCGTTTTTATTATATTTCCTGACTAGGAATAGTAAATTTCACAACCTATTTACTTTTACACTAATACCCTTTTACATTATAAACGTAATATCATGGCTTATTTCCTTATTTCTCTTTGCCCACATTTTCAATGTTATTGCTAACAGTATTTTAAACATTTCTGGGGGTTTAGTTTAGCTTTTTGTCTTTGATTGTTAGAAGATTTAAGAAAAAAAACTTCTATTTTTCGGAAATATTTCTAATATTTCAGAAAAAGGAACCGAAGTGTAACTAGGAATTATTGTTTGAAAAAGGATATTTGCATTTTTCTTAAAGACTACACTCAGTGGAGGCTCGACAGGAAGAGGTATTAGCTGGTTTATAATTACAACTCTCAGAACAACAACGGCCTTCTGTAAGACTACAAAGAATACAAGACAGGTAGAGGTATTAGCTGGTTTATAATTACAACTCTCAGTACAACACTGTCCTTCTGTAAGACTACAAAGAATACAAGACAGGTAGAGGTATTAGCTGGTTTATAATCACAACTCTCAGTACAACAAGGGCCTTCCGTTGGACTAAAAAAAATACAAGAATCTTTATTGAAGAAGGATATGGAGATAACAGTATTCAATATCAAAGCCCATAAAACAATATACAAAATAGGAGCAGAGCAAAACACGGGTCTCCGAAGCAGTGGGATCAGGTGCCATGGAGGAGTGAGCATCCCCTGCTGACTGGTCACACCCACCGTGAGAAAAATCAAGAATCTTTATTTAAGGAATGAAGCTTATTCAAACTTATGTTATACCTTTTATAAACCACGAAGCGATTTATAAAAAAGCATAAACTGCCCCAAGTTATGATAAATCGTATAACATAAGTTGAAATAAGCTTCATTCCTTATAATTTAATTTCAGTGTAGACAATAAGACAATTTCCCACCAGAAAAAGGCTTCAAATATAGTATATTTTTTTAAAAGCAACGACAAGCGGTGTAATATGTTTTTGACGTTACTCACTGTGACGTAGGCAAGTTATGTTATACAAAATATTATATGTTCCTCAGAATGATTCAGCCAGTGATATTGCTTGATACAAGAGAAATCAAATCATTGTGTGATAAATGTGAAATACATTTCTTGACGCTAGATATACGCAGAATTCTTGTGCACTCTTCAGACACGATTCTATATCCTCCGGGAATTATTGATTGATTGTATGCTGTTTAACGTCCCTCTCGAGAATTTTTCATTCATATGGACACGCCCCCACTTGCTGGTGGAGGGCTACAAATTTGTCCTATGCTCAGCACTCAGGGCCTTTGAGCAGTAAGGGATCTTTTTCGTGCAAGCACCTATTGCAACACGGGGCCTCGGTTCATACGGTCTCATCTAAAGGACTATTGAGCTTGTTGATTCGTCGTCGTTTTCATTATATTTCCTGACTAGGAATAGTAAATTTCATAACCCTTCGGACTTTATGGGATTTGATCACGTGACCAACCCGTTTTACATCCCAATAAAACTCAATAAATGATGCCTTATTTCTTAAATATATTTTCGACCATCGTTTGTCATAATAGGTTACTACATGTGTATTTTCGTTGTATAGATATCTAGAAAGAACATTACAATGTATAATATGAATTCAAATCTTAAAAAAAAACAACAAATAATCATTGCCCACCTGCATTTATATGACGGATTTCTGTATGTACACATCAGTTTGTCGTTAGGGTCACTATTCCGAGAGTGGGAGCACCTGTCTGTACACTAATCTTTATTCCGCAATCACACTGCTCCCCCGACTCTACTATACCGATACCGCAGAATGCCGCGCCCGATGCTAAAAAGAATTTTACTCATAGGAATTCTTTTTTTTATTTTATGCTAGGCAAACTAATATTAGATCTCATAATATGTTTATTAATATACATTCCTTAATTTTTTCAACTCCCTAACTTAGATATTTTGGAAATTTTAAAGAATATGCAGAAAGAGTAAACCTATGATAACGATTAATCAATAAACCTATTATGTTGAAGAAATAATATTTCTCATTCCTTATCATGACTTCATTAAACAATTTTACTTTTTCTTATGATATATACAGTAACACTAAGATGAGAATAACATTAAATCAGTTTAATTATGTCAATTTCTCCTATGGTATGTACAGTAAGGTTACACTATACATTTACTGACTTCGAGGGCAACATGCGTTTTGTCAGACACAAGAACCAAACTGTCCGCCTGAAACCGTTCGGCCGAAGGCAGACAGTCTGGTTCGAGGGTCTGACAAAACGCATTTTGCCAGAGAACTCTGTTAATAAATGTTTTGTTATACTTTTTATTTTATTTCTTTTTTTATTGACATGCATGTATTTTGTATTGTATTCCGTGATGTAACTTTTAATAGTCGTAATTATACATTCCTAATTTACAGAGAAAAAAGCAATTAAGAATAAGTCTGCACAAAGATAAACTTTCTTCTTAAATCATTGATTAAAAATATATTGATAAAAAAAGAATTTAAAATAATACATATATTTAAATATGTAACATTGCTTCTTACGAATTGCATAAAATACTTATTTACATAATACAAATAAACATTTTATAACAACATATCAAGATTTTTTTCTTTTCTATTCTAAAATAATGATGAATACATTTATCCATTATAGAGGAAACTTCATGTTTTCTACTTCCTGTATATTTCGTGAGGCTTTTGGGTCATTATCAAATATATGCATTCATTTGCGTCTGTTTCAATTCATAAGGAAAATGTTTTGGGAAATAATAAACAGTATCATAGGGTTTTAGAAAGCTAACACTTTTTCCTTGAACAAATGAATTCTTAGTTTCATTGATTGAAGTAATAAAAAAGGTGTTTATATTATTTTATTTAGTTTTTTACAAAATAGTTTTTATATTATTTTTCCGTTTCCCTGCAATCACGCATTTTCACGCACTTTGAAAAGTTCATTTAATTTTCAATTGAATACCAATTTCCTTTTATTTAATACTACCTAAAATTTTTAAAATACAAAGCAAAGTTATTTTTGCATTAAAATATAACGTCATAATATTATTTACGCTAAACAATATAGAAAATTGTACCACACCATGGGGTGCTAGCGGGGAAATGTTAAATATCTTTTTCTATGACGTGAACATAAAGTACATGTTGCATAACAATTCAGTAAGTTGTAGAGAGTTAATAAGATACGACTTATTTCATGCTCTCAATTGATTTTGTCTATTATGCAATGAATCATTTTTTTTTGGAAAGATATATTCTCTTATCTGTTATGGTGTGTGCAAACAGTAACACAACGGTTCATTACTTGTATTAACATTTTTAAACTTTCTACCTGCAAACTGCAAATGCGATTTATATTTCAAAAAAGATATGTATTATCCTTCGTGTAAGCTACAGTAAATGGATCAGCCAACGTCACAGCTTCAGCTTTCAATTTTCGCTCATGACGTTGTATTTTCTCGGAGTTCAACGATTATGACGTCAAACTAAAACACATTCTTTAACCTTTTGGCACCCTGTCTGTGTTATGGTGTTTTGAATGTATTCACTTCATATGCAAAAACATATATAATGTAAATATTTGTCTTTCGCCAACAAACCTTTCAAAATAATTTTTTTGTAATTCATATACTTAACTTCTAAAAATATAATAGAATGTGTCTTTCTATAGTTGTTTCAGCAATATTATTTTTTATCATTTCTCTCTACAATTCTATTTAGCCTGTTTTTTGACAAGACTCAGTTTCATTGATCAGAGTTAAATGTACGAGTTAGAAGGTGTTGGATTTTTATTTTTGGATAAAGCGGGATAACTCTGTTTATATTTATCGACGTCTCTGACTTGAAGCGGTGAATCCCCAAGTTTAATAAATCTGCAACTGCCACATACGTGTCATCTTCTTTCTTCTTCGGGTGATATTCTATTATTTACAGTTTATTACGTCTTTTATCTGTTTGCTTTCAAATACTGACTGGCGTTTTTCATACTAATTATTAGTACATTATTTATACACTGAATTGGCAATTCCACCTCTGGTGTTTCGGAGATCCGTGTTTGCTCTGCTCCTATTGTGTATTGTTTTATGGACTTTTGATCTTGAATACGTTCGTTATCTCCATATCTTTCCTTGCAGTTTATTACGTCTTTTATCTATGGAACAATATTGATGTTTATGTTAGGAACATGTTGTGACTCGATATGAGAATGCTAAATGTATGAATTAGTGTGCGTAATGGCTGCACCGTTGTGTACACGTTTGTTCGGGTCAAGTTAGATTATTTTACTATGTAATTAATTTTTTGTCGAGCAAGATTAAACCTTTTAGTTAGAAAGAATAACTACAGCATTGATAATCTATGTTTATCCCATTTATCATAATTTCGACGTAAGGAAAATCATATCTAAGTCATCAATCTTGATTGCATTGTGTCACAATAAGTCAATAAAACCATCTCTAAGTCATTAATCTCGATTGCATTGTGTCACAATAAGTCAATAAAACCATATTTAAGTCATCAACCTTGATTGCATTGTGTCACAATAAGTCAATAAAACCATATCTAAGTCATCAATCTTGATTGTATTGTGTCACAATATGTCAATAAAACCTTATCTAAGTCATCAATCTTGATTACATTGTGTCACAATAAGTCAATAAAACCATAT